CCATCTGCCCCAGGAAAGTTTCCCCCGCGGCCGCCGGCGGGAGTTGGCGCGGGGTCCGGCCGCTGCAGCTGGAAGGTAGGGGGCTCCACACCTTCTTTTACTCAGTGCGCCCTGCCGCTGCGCCCTAGGACTTGGAGACTCCCCGCGCGCTCCCCGCGGGAGACTGTTGGGCATGGTGGGTGGGGTAGGGGTGCCATCAGGGGTATCCCAGGACGGTCCGGGGAAGCTCTGGAACCAAGTTTCACTTAAACCAGCATGCGGAGGAGGAAGGGGAGACGTGTTCGCCTCTAATTCCTGCTCCGAATCCTCCGAGGGCTGGGGCTTCCCCGCGGACAGGTGCAGCACCAGTCGGCTCCGGGAGCTCTGGGTGGGTGAGTGGGGGCGCCAGGAGAATGGCGGAGGGTGGCAGGTGTGGTTACAAGGTTGGGGTCTCGGCGAGGGCTGCACCCCGAGGGAGGGTGCGCGTGCCACCCGACTCTGTAGCAGGGCAGGATTAGGTCTAGGGATGAGAAGCGAAGATCCGGGCTAGGAGACCACTGGGCCCAGCAGGGGCACTGAGAGCCTGCTGCCTTGGGGTCCCTGGCAGCGGGGCGAGGCCGGGGCGCCACCCTTTCCTTCGGGTGCCCCTGGATCCCCTACACGGTGTGTGCGGTTTGGGGAAGCAGAGATTCTGTGTGGCTCTCGGTGGTTCCGAAGCCCAGGTGTGTGCAGATTTAGGGGGTGTAGTGGGAGTCTGCTTGGAGGGCTGGCGGGCTCTGGTGGGTTCACGCCGGCTTTGGGACCCGGCTGGATGGAGGTGAGTTGGCTCCCGCCAGGGGGCGCACTTCCCCGGCCCTTTCACCCATAGGAAGGCCAGTGCTGGTTCCTTCCAGACAAATGTACTGAAATCCAGGATAGACAACCACAGACCCTCCAACACACCCGGGGCCCCGCCGGGAGAGCACCCCTCCGCACAGCGGGACTCGGGGAGAGGGTCGAGTGTGAGGCTGGGATGCTTCATTTGTAACTGCACCGTGTGCTGGGAAGCTGGGCTGTCAGGGTGTATTGGTGAATAAAAAAGTCACCGCCAGGAAAACAAAAAAAGGAGAGAAACTGTACAGTAACAGCAAATCCGTGTGGAGAAAATGACTGGGAGAATTAACTTTTTGAGGTTTCTCTGGAGTCTGACCACCCCCCCAATCGCTGAATGCACCCCCCCTTTCTGTGAAAGTTGTACCTTTGTTCCCTGGATCTGGCCAGGTCCCTACCTGCTGTGCCTGGGTGAGGTCTCCTGGCATATCACATCCCCTCCTATCCACACTCTCTCTGGGCACAAATAAGCTGGGAGGCAAGGGTGGGGGTGATGGGGGACCCTTGTAATTTTCTCAGCAGTCAACAAGAGCCCCCCGCCCCTCCCATACAGTCATCTGGTCATTTCACACTTATTGGTGGAAACCTGCTCTGTGTGCCCTGTCTGACCTCCGGGACTGTGTGTGTTGAGTCCCTGTGTCCCTGCGGACGCCTTGGGAAGCAAGGCAGCTGCTGGCATCGGTGAAGAGTGTCTACTCTGTCATGTGTGGGGCTGTTGGACATTGAAGGGACACTGAAGGGACTGTCGCCTCATCGTTCTCTCTAATTCCCTCTTTCCTGCCTCCTCCCTGCACCCCAAGTGAGTACAAATGAGCACATCAAAGACCGTGCGGTGGCCTCACAGTGGCCAGTGGAAGTTTTCATCTTTCTCTTGGCTAGAAACTGTGTGTCCCCCTCCTGTGTGTCCCCTGAGTCTCCTGCAGAGATGATGGAAGCGGGGAGGGTCCAGAAAGAGAGTTGAGGCTCTTGCTTGCCTCGCAGCCCACCCATTGTTTATTGCTGGATGCTACCAACCTGCTCTAGGACAGAGCTGCCACAAGGAAAGATCAGCATGATTTTTATTGTGATTAGAAGAGGAGGAGCAGAGACAGAGGAAAGGGTGGAGGAGCCGCTGTCCCTGGATGCGGCTTCAAGACATTCCATGGGGCCAGAAAACAAAAGGGTTGTTTGGTTTTGTTTTCAGTGACTTGTTTTTCTGAGGAGGGAAGCCTGCCCCATACAGCCCGCTCTGTCCTGTTCCACCCATTCTCCCCGCACTGCCCCCCAACCCCCACGTGCCCTGAAGAGAAGAGGGAACTGAGACCCCGGGCTGCTGACTCGGAGATCTCTGATTCCGCCACTTTTCACGTCTTGGTCAGTCTGTGTCCTTGTCACCCCATCCCCAAATACATTCAAATGCCTGACCCTTGGCGGTATCTTTATGCAACCTGTGGCTGAAATGCCAGTGCACCCGTGAAAGTTCCAGGGCACCTTCTAGAACAGTGGTTCTCAACCTTCTGGCCCTTTAAATACAGTTCCTCTTGTTGTGACCCAACCATAAAATTATTTTCGTTGCTACTTCATAACTGTAATGTTGCTACTGTTATGAATCGTAATGTAAATATCTGATATGCAGGATGGTCTTAGGTGACCCCTGTGAAAGGGTCGTTCAACCGCCAAAGGGGTCACGACCCACAGGTTGAGAACCGCTGTTCTAGAAGCAGAAGTTCATCTGGAGTTGGAGTTAGGGCACCTTGGATTGGTCCAAAAAGTGCCCCCTCCCCAATAAAATAATTTCACGTGAGCTTGGAAATAGCTCCTTGAGTTGCCCAATAAGGTTTTGATGGTGTGAGGGGTGGGCTGGAGGACAGGGTGCTGGGCAGGGACAGGTGCCCGGCAGTATCAAAGCAAGAGCTTGTGGCAGGGATTTGTGGGAGGGGGTCGGGAACGGAGCCCAGTCTTCTGGGTGATCAGTGTGGCTTTGGGTGAGTCACTTCCCCTCTTGGACATGCTTTCTCAGCCTGTCTTATCCCGC